TTCAAGATGTGTATTTAGTTTTTTCGTTCGACTAATTACACAATTCATGGACAATTTAATGTTTATTTCGTCGATCGATCGAAGACATTTCGTAACTGTCATTGTAAACTGGTATGACATGAATATGAAAGATGCGCGGCATTCATGCATGACATATTCTAATTTTACAAGTTTATTATACAGTATTTATTTTATAGAAAACGTGAATTACATAGGAAGCAATTTTACATTTTTAAACGTATTTTAATAACAGGGTCACAATACAACAGCCCATTCTATGTCATGGACCCTTTATTTCCTGGGAAGATTCCACGAAATCCAAGAAGAACTGTATCTAGAATTGCAAGAAATTTTCAAAAATGATAGGAACAGGAATATTACTATCTATGACACAACGAAAATGACGGACTTAGAATGCGTAATTAAGGTAACTTCTTAATTTCTTTAAATACACTTAAAGATTAGTTTTATATATTACAATTTTCAGGAGTCGATGAGAATCTATCCACCTGCTCCTTTTATTGCATGAAAAAATCCTTCAGAAATGAAAATAAGTAATTTTTGATATTTTGGAATTTGTTTCTTAATAATAATTTTTTATATTTTTTTATTGACTCGAAGTATTAAATCGTTGTCATTCAAATAGGTAATTACATGTTGCCTGCAAATTCGACTCTTGTCATAAATATCTATGGCATCCATCATAATCCTTCTGTTTACGAAAATCCCGAGGTGTTCGATCCAGACCGTTTTTTACCTGTAAACTATAAAAATCTTCATCCTTATGCATTTCTGCCATTTTCTGCCGGTCCACGAAATTGTCTCGGTAGGTGATTAGAGAATAAATACAAAAAAAAAGAATTATGTCATTAAAATAATTTATTTACAGGAAGTAAACTTGCCATGATTGAAATGAAAATGGTTTTGGCAAATGTTCTTCGTAATTCTCTTTGGATCCTCAGGATAAAATCGTTACTTCATGGGGTATTATATTGACCCCAATATCAGGTATAAGAATGTGTGTAGAACAAAGATGTATGTTGTAAAATATGAAATAACCTGAACGTTGGGGTAATTTTTCTTACAGATATATATAAACATAGACGTATATCATATAATCTAAACAAGCTCATTCAAAAACTGTATCGAAATAATTCTACGTATTATTAAACTTTACTCAAAAATTGTAATTTACATTTTTATAGATAAAAATGATGAGAATAAAATGTATTATGATTATTGTTATTAAATCTACTTCATAATAATACTATTTTTCGCTGTTTGTTGCATTTTATTTATTTATGACATGAATAATTTCTGACATTTAAGTTTACGTAAATTGATCTGTTGTTAACAATATGCTCGTGTTTATCTGTATTGTATAAAATGGGCCGAACATAAATGATTCTGATGTGTTGAATTCAAAATACTTCTATTTCATTTAGTATTTTTCTGATAAGCTACAGAATTAAATTTATACGAATCCAAATTTAATAAAAATATTTAACATATTTGACTAATTAATATGTAACTCTTATTAACAGAAATTAATGATTATTAATATGATAATCATTTAAAATTAATGTTCATTAATTTTATATGATTAGCATATAATTTTATATAAATTTTATATAATTTCATAAAATAATATTGTGAAATCCGTGATTTTTACGCCGATGTCGGAAAAATTTTTGTAAACAACTCCGATGAAAACTGTTGGTGAGAAGTATATCAGATTGTTTTCACATTATGGTAGGAAAGTTGACAGTTAGTTGATCGGAATGCACCGTAAGTGTCAACAGAAGTCGATCACGTGACTCATTTCCCACGAATAACGTATAAAAGCTCGAGTCCCCGAAAGCTCAGGGCGATCCCCCGAAAGTTATACTTGGTAGATGTGCCATATTTGTCTCCATACTCCGGACCGAAAGGACATACGACCAACCACAGCCATTTGAACTTTCATCGCCATTAACGAACATATTCAACGAACGCATATTAGACATATCCGCATAGAGGTATTTGTACTTTTTAGAGCTTTGTGAACTCTCTCTCACTAGCGGGAAAGCTATTAGAGCGTCCCTTTTGTATAGTGAATTTATTTAATCGCATTTAACCTATGTATCCTAGCTTAGTTATATAAATAAATGCTTGTTTAGTTTTTAAACCTGTCTCCTGTCTCTGAAGGACACCTGCCGACTTACCGACGCACTCCCCACTCAAATTTTTGTCTTCCTAGCCATCCGACAAGCAGAGAACGGGTTTTACCAACCTCTTGCAGAGTAAGAGGTCATTTGGGATGAGCCCAGTGGCCCACTGCTAATCTCACAATATAATTTATATATTATTAATCAAGTTTAAAAAATTTTATTTTTGAAAAACTTTAATTTGTTATTTTAAAATAAGAATTAGCTCTGTATACTCTTTCTCAAATAAATTATGATACATTTTTCAGTATAAATAACAGTGTTCTGATGTACTGTATTGATTTGTATTGTGTTCATTTTCATACTTATTTTATTCAACTGAACTAAATTCTGCTAGTTATGTGAACTGTTTCAATTTAAAATATGTTTTAAATTGTTTAACGTAATGAAGTTTTATATTTGTAAAATTGCAAAACAAATTGCAATGACACTCGTACAGCACAAGTTATTATAGCTTGTGCTGTACTTAGATTCAGTTGATACAGGCACTTTTACACGTTTCGGGCGTATAGCCCCTCATCAGTCGACATTAAAAATGCAATGGGACTCGTACAGCACAAGTTATAATAACTTGTGCTGTACGAAACGTGTAAAAGTGCCTGTATAAACGCCCGAAACGTGTAAAAGTGCTTGTATAAACTGAATAAAATAAATAAACGCCAAGTGTTTTAATCATAACACAGTCTTGTGTTCAATAGTAAATAAATACGAAAACACGGTTTCAAAAAACAAATCATATAAAATTATAATATAATTAATGATTAATGATTATATGGCAGACATTCGATGAAACTTACTCGCCTTTCATATAAAATGTATACAATTGCCGAAGAAAAAAAATACAAAATTTAACACGATATTACGTATTATAGGAGTAAAAATTGTATTCCGTAAATGAAATACAATTTTTAGTACAGAATTACAAGTACAAAACATCAAATGTATAAATAGATGTGATGTTCTCTACTTGAAAACTATAAGCCATAGTGAAAACAAAAATGAAAACATTGAAGTAAAAATCAAAGGAGGAAACTTTTTTTTTCAAATTGTTTATATGAATTTACGCCTTTACGGAGTGAAATGTTTTGATTGTAATAAAAATAGTATCTGCAAAAAAATGTAAAACATGTAGTCATCATCTTTATCTTTGCTTAAGTTAGGCGTTTAAATCTTGTACGATTTTTTTTCATCTGATTCGGGATTTGCCATTATTTCCTCGATTAATGAACGTTAAATTAGATAAATTTCATGAAATATCATCTATGTACGGAAATCGACCTTTTTGTCAGGCTTCCTGAACATCAATTACAACCTGCTCATTGCCTGCATTGAACAAGAAACGCAGAGTTTTATATGAGACCATGCTCGATCACATATTGCTAGTATGTTATGAGCACTGCTGCAAAAATGGCGTTGAAGCTTTTGTGCATTCACTCTGTTTACCACAGTAATTCTTTCTGTAATTTAGGTTTTCTCGGGAACTAAAACAGACTTTACGTGGTCAATGAATTCCATTGATAGATGTCAGTCTTGCTTGCAGTAGAACTCTCCAGGCCAGTGGTGGCAAACCTATGACCCGTGGGCCAAACACCGACGCACACAGGCTTTTTAAATGACCCATGAGTTGATTTTTATGAACTTATTTTTATATCATAAAAAAAAGAACAGACAAACAAAAATATTAAAAGAATAAAAGTATATATATCTAATGTCGAATTTATAAAAAAAAAACAGTCAAAAGGCCTGATGCAAGTATTGGGGCACGCGCTCGGTGTCATTCCATGGTATAAATAAAAAATTAATAAATTTCTATTACAAATAAAAATAATAATAATATACTAAATTATTGTGAGGTAACTTCCTTTATCGAAATTATGTCTTAATGTTAATTTTATTCGAGTTATGTAACAATTGTTGTTAGTAGTTACGTGAGAAAGTCTCCCGTTACCAGTCCTCGAAGGCAACCCGACGCTTACTCGTGATCTTTTAACCTCTGGACGGCCGATATTGTCTGTGGATATCGCTAGAGACGGCCAAAAAACTTAGTCGTCGTCAGTCCCTCCGATCAGGAAAGTCGTAACCGATTCCTCCCGGAATATCGTCGACCCGAGAGAAACGAATCCTTCCGAATTATCAGTGCCTATTTGAATACTTTCCCTTGTTATAGCGATCGACGTTGTGCCAGTGACAGCTAAGTGGATAATATTTTCGAACAAACCCCCAAGTAAACTGCTGTCTCAATCAACGATATCTTCATCAAAATATATCCTTTCATCACCAGGTATATATTTAACTCGCGCTCGTTATGTCAACTCTCTCTCTCCGTGACAAAAATTAGAATCTCTGCATCTTCTCCAATTTATTTTTAATTAAATCTTTACTAAGTGCTAATTGGAGTCCGAGTAACTTCCATATGCTGTCTCCCGATTGGCTGATATTACAAATCCGAATTTCCATTTACGGGACAGTTCGCACGATAATGTGACGATGTAAAAACGCTGTCTCGATTTCCGTGCTCCACGAAAAACGGTGGTGTCAATCCTGACAGGGCACTAAAGAAGTGTCGACCCTTACGTCACATTATACTGTAAAAATATGAAATAAATATAAAAGAATTTATATTTTCAATTTAAATAATAGCTAGGGTCGCCCCTAGTGGTCGTTTTTGGCATACCGTCACAGAACTGCCAATTTCGATTTTATATAGTAGATATTTCCAAGTAGTCATTAGCTAGCTGATTTTCTATCATATCACTGCACCTATGTATGACTCATGACAGTTAGTCATAAAGTTGAGGCACATACATGTTCGTTCCATCGTAAAACGGGGAGATGTACTAGCTCAGGGATGTTTTTTTTTTAACTCTTTCCGCCCTGTGGGCACTAAGAGGGCCTAGAAGCACGTCTAGAAGTATTAATAGTTATGTCAATAATAATAATAATGTTGAATTATGTCTTCTTTATAAAAATCGTACTGCCTGCTGGGTAATCAGCTTAGAGGTATGAAGGAGTACATGCCAGTAGTTGCAATTTGGGGAAAAGTCGTCTATTACGTACCAAAATCATGCATTGGCACGTAACTTCACCCCGCTTAACCGCGGCTCGGTCAGAGAATGGCTATGTAGGAAGGCAAAAATGTGAGTGGGGAAGGCATTGGGCAAGTCGACAGTATACCGATCGCATGCAAGGAGTTTACCGATTGTACTCAAGTATGACACAGCATTAAATATAAAATGACACATTTAATTTTCTAATTATCTAAAACTATACACACGGGTATAAAGCGAGATGCTACAAAAAGGGAATACCACAAAATATTCTATATCGCGACAAGAAATATACGCTCGTCGACTAGCCGACTAAGTTCTAGCTTTATAAAACATATTGTTCCTTTAAATTCAACTAGCCTAATATAATCTATAACCGAGAGAGAGAGTCAAGGAACGATAGAGCTAGGATCAAATTTAGTATATGTGATTACCTCTCGTAGTTTCGATCTAGACGTATGGGCGTTCGTTAGAACTGTCCCCGGATCGGCTGACTCTACTCGTAGTCTCACTTCTCTCTCTCTTCGAGCGATGGACGGTGATTATGCCGGAAAGGCACAG